GTCGTTAAACAAACATGTAAGGGTTAAGATTGTAGTAATTGTTTCTTTACTAGTAGTTAAACCAAACATAGGAAGGGTAAGTATTTGTAATTGTTCTTTTACTGTGTTAAACAAACATGAAGGGTAAGATTTTGTAATTGTTTCTTTTACTGTGTTAAACAAACATGAAGGGTAAGATTGTGTAATTGTTTCTTTTACTGTGTTAAACAAACATGAAGGGTAAGATTGTGTAATTGTTTCTTTTACTGTGTTAAACAAACATGAAGGGTAAGATTTTGTAATTGTTTCTTTTACTTACACGTCTGGATTCAAAATATTAGAGTTATTTGACATACAGTAGATGTTTAATATTTCATAAATATATATATATTGCATATGAGATTAATATATGTAAAAGTACTGTTATACCTTCCATAGTACATTCTATAAAAATAATGATCAAAATGGTATTAATTTTAGCTTTTAAGCAGTTTCCACCCAAAATAAATACCATTTAAAATGATTTTTAATCCAGTAGACATTCATTGGATTAAAATGGCATATGGCTTTAAGATTTAGATGCTTGCATTTAATTTTTTAGAAAATTAATTCAGCAGTAGTTGAGTCTTGTGACGAATAGATGTGACAACAATGTATGTGGAAATAAACAACCAATCATATTTTGACTGTCATATACTCTTTCCTTGAAAAATATTGTTTAGACTAAGAACCTTAGAAAAAACAAGAAAAAAATTTAGTGCTTTTTAATTCTGCTCTTTATGAGTTAAATCCTCAAACTAGATGTAGTGTAATGTGAAAACATATATAAAAGCCTTTGATGTTTATGTAAGTGTTTTGTAGCATACTGTTTACCAAAGATGTTCAGTTAGCTTGAGTTGTGTTAAGGTAGATAATTAAATTAAAAGCAAACATTTCTGATTCCTTATTAAAGACGACAAAAACAATTCAAATTGGGTAGTTTTACCTCTGAAGTTCAGAAGGCTTTTCCTTCGTGAGTTTGAACTTATGTTGTGAACAAAATGTGACATAAAATTACCAAATTCCCATTTACACATTGCAGAGCAAGGGTCACTTAATCTTAAAATTAAGGATGCCAATTTTAGTTTTATTATACTGTCTAGAGTGTCAAAACTGAGGAATTAAACTTTGAAATTGAAAAATGAGGAAATAATTTTAAATGTTTACATTCATTAAGAAAAGTAATATGTAATTTACTTTTAAAGATTTTCAGTGTAATATTTTGACATTTCTAAATTGCATTAGTATGTGTTTACTACATCTCATAAATTAAGTGTTAAATAACACCAGTTATTAAGGCAGTATTAAACACAAAATACATCATTCTAACAAAAGAAGTAAAGTTATATGACACACCCTAATATGAATTAAATATCATCATTCGGAATTTTAAGTATAAATCCAAAACCTCCTACCACCACAGGCCACAAACTTTCAGACTTTAGAAATGATGTTGTAAGGTTTGATTTTATTAATGTCTATAATCAAATGTAAAATGGTCTTTAAAAATGTCAATCTTTTTATAATTGTAAAAGCAATCTATTAGCAGTGCCTAATAATGATCTTGGCTAAGTTCAGCCTGTGAATGAACAAGTTCTCATTTATTTGCTAAGATCTTAAACCAGTTAGATTAGATAGTAGTCATATTCCCTTATGGCATATTTAAGTACACTAGATGTAATAGGAGATCTTAGGTTAGCATGTTCTTTCACTCTCATTATCAATTTTGTTTTTCTCAAACTGATGTACCTTTGCTAGAGCAAGGACAGGTAAATTTATAAACAATGAATTGTGATTGTAAAGCAGAAATTCATTTCTTAAATCTAAACAAAGACTGTATGTAACAATTAGGTTTAAACACACATCTCAACTGTATTTGAACCTAATTCAACTGTAACAAGGTCTTTACTGCCCGATGAAGGGCATCTGTTTGAAACATCACAGAAAATAAACTAGAAAAAGTTTTCATTTAGATGTGTCAATTTGTTCCAAGTATTACTGATTATTCCAACTGACCAAGTAATCAAAACGTTACCATTATGTTTGTTGTTAAGCACAAAGCTATATTGTTTTTTTTGGGGGGGGGGGTCCTCATGATTTGAGGTTTTTGGGATTCATTCCTATTGCCAATAAAGTTGCTTGCCCTGTCTTTGTTATGGCAAAGCTAATACTGTCATTAACTTTGAACTTCTGACTCAAGGGAAGGCAAATGGCTAGCAGCACCCTCTATCAACCCTCTGACTACTTAATTGTTAAATGAGGTGTAAGTTCACAGGTTTTTTACATTGTGTAACTGTACTTTTTAATATTGTATAAGCAGCCATGAATAATAACTGCATTCCTTAATGTTGTAACATGCTCACCCTTTCAGCCATGGGGGTGTTATAATGTGATAGTCAATCCCACTATTTGTTGGTAAAAGAGTAACCCAAGAGTTGGTGGTGGGTGGTGATGACTAGCTGCCTTCCCTCTATTCTTTCACTGCTAAAATAGGGATGGCTAGTGCAAATAGCCCTCATGTAGCTTTGTGCAAAATTCAAAACAAACAAACCTTAGTATTGTATAAGCAGGTACAGATATAGGGGATGGGTGCAGGGGTCCTGAACTCTCTGTTTTTTTCAGGAATAAATAACTGTATTATAAGCAGTCGTGGATATAGGATTTCTGAAATCAGCACAGCTGGAATCTACATCTATCCAGTTAAGGCCTTAGCCAATAACTGATTATTTCTAAGCTAATACAACAGTATGAACATCAATAAATTTTGTATGATAAATTTTTATGCCTTGGTTTTTTCCAGATACTCTATAAAGAGATTTGTTTCATCAGAGTTAATTAGGAGATCTACATCTCTTATAACATATAATTGTAACAGAATTTATTTTTCATTGTTTAGAAGTTAGAATTCTCTTGAGAAAGATGTTTTTTTGTATTGGTGATGGTTAAAATGAGTTATGATGCCAGCGGAATTACTGCATAAATAATTTTTTCCAAAAACAAACTGAAAACTGGCATCCTGTTTACCAGTGCTATGATTGTTTTTTTAAATATGATTATAAATAATCAGAAATATATTGTTTTAATTAAAAAAAAAATTAAATATTGGATTTTACTTTTTTTTTTTCTTTATATGAATCACATTACTAAAAATCAAGATTTGAGCTTTGAAATCCCCCGGGCTAATCATTTACAGAATATGATAACATTGTTTTAATGTTGACTTAATTAGATTACTTTAGGACTATATTGTCAACACTTGTTTAGCCAAAATACTATATTATTATAGGAGAAGCCTCTTTTTTCACGTAAAAAATGCTGAAAAGTTTGTTTAAGTGTTACGCGGCTAACGTTTTAAACATTTAGGTGGTATCTTGCCCTAGTGTAAAAATGAAACACTACTGCAGCTAGTGTGGAGGAGCTAAACATTGTTAATTGTTAACATAATAATACCATACAATTTGAATAGACTTTTTAGTTTTATTCTTATTCATTCCCTAATGGTTTTTTACTATGGCAAGATACTTGTTGATTATAAAGCATTTGAGTAACTGTTTAGTCTTAAGTATGTGTTGTGTGTATGATGCATTTTTATGTACAAAGTTTAGGATTTAAAAAAAGTAACTTCTAAATTATTGTACATGTAATCTGAAAATAGGGTTCCAACTGCTCTTCATATTTTTTCAACAAGTCAAATTTAAGTGTGAATTATAACTATATTTAACAATCTTAACTCAAAAAATATTTTCATTTTCTGACATGTAGTTCTTAATGTAATTAAAGACTTAAAAAAAAGTTCATATTTTCATTTTTTTCACACCTGCAAAGAATTTTTCCTTCTAATTATCCCTAATAATAACTTTATTTTTGCTAAGAACTTGTCACTCGTCGACAATTTATCATTCATTTCTTGATTTTCAAGTGTTTTCAATGGTTTTTGGACATGCATTGGTTGAAACCTTTGTAATGGTGCCATACCAAGTGGTTTGATCATTTACTAAGGAGTTACAGCTTCAAAAATGGCTAAAAGGAAATTTGAAATATAATTGGATAGAACAATAACTAGATTATCAAATAATAGTAGAATAAATATATAGGTTTAAAAGTTTTGGGAATTGTGAAAGTATTTGTATTAAATTACATTGTTTGAAAAATTTTCTTCAATGAAAAGACGTTAGATAACTGAGTTAAGGTAAGCTCAGACAGTTGAGTTGGGTTGAATGGATAATAAAGAAAACTTTATTACAAATAACAAAGTAATGAGTGTATAATGTTTGGAAAAGATTTTATCATCATTATGTATGGGTAGTTTACCTAGATACTAGAATTTATATTTACAAAATTAAAAGAAGCATCTGACTGGAGATTGCTTAACTCTTCCAACATGGGGTTGGTCAATTTGACTGAGTCACGTGACCTTCTGTACTCGTTTAAAGTTGACATAAATTGAATACTTATCACTCTCTATATATATTGGGTATATCTTCATGAAATTTGACAGTCTTTCAGTTAATATTACAAGTTTTTCACATACAAAAAGTCATATTTCTTAGTGAAGTACTTTTAATAAAATAAAATAAAGTTTTTTCATTAATATATTATTTGTTTTGAATAGTCCATATGCAAAGTAATTTTCATGTTAAAATTAAGAATACTTTTTGTCATCTCAAAAATCTAAAATTTTCTTTGTGTAATCCCTAAAACCTCCTAAATGCATTTCAAATGTTTTTTCACTAAATCCTTATAGTTTATATGTTATTTTCGAACTTAGAGCTACTTAGGATAAACAAATGTAGTTTCATGTTACACTTTGAAGTCATATTACAAAGAAAAGAAGGTTAATTTAGGTTTATTTCGATTTTTTTTTTTGGTGGTTACGAGGTCAGATCGATTGACCGATCCTGTTTTGAGATTAGGGTAGAGGTAACATTATACATCTATTTAAAATTAAATTTTATTGTTTTATTGCTCTTTGAACCATGTCTAACTGCTATCCGCACCATTATAAGTTGTAAATCACTCGGAGAACATGCAGCTCACGTTACGCTATCGAATTACATTACCCACAAGCTGCTCAAATGCGTGCTTGGTGAACAAGTTTAATTATATTATTATTATTACTTGTTATACCTATTCTAGTCTTAAATAACTTTAAAAGATCCATACTTTTAATTTTAGGTACTTTTATAATGATGAATAAAGAATGAATAAGAAAAACAAGAAATAAAGTACTTACTCATTCTTATTTTTTCTTGCCCTAGATTGTCGAGTAGAGTTAAACCAAATTTTTTTTTTTAGCGATTTTTGTAAAGCACTTAACAATTTTTATTTACTTGAATAATACACCAAAGTATATAGACTAATAACATGCAAAAAGTAGACAAATTCACTTACTTCTGAAAATTTTCCTGGCTTTCTAACTATGAGACAAGCCATTAGAAATTCATCCAAGTTGGTCGTTAACTTTCTCATGGAAACGATGTTGCTACTCAGAGTGACATTGACGGTTATCTGTTCAGAACACAATGTTATACAATACGCCATTTGATAGATGAAAACCTTGACTTTCTGTTTGTTATAAATAATATATAATGAAACGTAAGAGAGAACTATCAACCAATTGTGAAAGAGAGGATGTGGCAGGAGGGGTCTGATTTTCTCTTTGATAGTTCTGTAACAAAACAAAGTTGAAGGCCATAGAAATTATGGTCTGTTTGAGCAACAACGATTTTGTAGAGAGCATTTTATGTTTAACCATAAATGAAGAATTTTCAGTTTCGCAGTTATTTCTAGGACTATTGGGATACATTAATAAGAGGAACTTGAGAAATGGCTGATATAATACCTCTGTTGAATTCTAGTATATGAAGAAAGTATATTACAAAGTTTTAGCAGGCCAAAACAAAAGTTCTAGTTTTGTTTTTAAAGTTATTTCTTGCAATATAAAACATTAAATTAAATGGAATTACTAAGCAGTACGATTTACATCCCTTAATATTGTATCTATAGTTCACAACTGACCATAATGGAATATTCTTCTTAACCATTACTGAATCTGACAGGTATGTTGTTTTTAAATTAGCCATCATTTTGAGTGAATAAAGTTGTATGATGTGTAAGAAAGTATGCTGTTTAGCATAATTTAACTTTTATTGTTGAATGTTTTGTTCAAAAATTTTATAACTTGTATGTGGACACATGAAAAGCTGTAATTGTGTGCCTCTGAAAGTCTTTGTATTGCTGTTAGTCTTTATTGGAAGTTTGTTGTTGTTTTTTTTTTTTTTAGCTCTTTGAACTTCTGAATTTTGTTGCGGAGAGTTTCATCTTTACCTACATTGGAGTGTCAGTGTTCACTTACCAGAAACATCGCTGGAATGTTTGGTTCATCCTTGCGTCTTTTGTATCCTACCTTACAATTTGTACATGGTACTCATCTGGTTTCTTCCTAACATGTTTAATAAATGTGTCCAATTAAAGTTAACCTTCACTGTTGCAAGTGAACTTAAATTTGCAAGTATAGATATGGCAGAAAGTTTTCAAATGGTTTTTAATCAAGTAGATAAACAAATACAGCCATTTTATAATACTGATAAGAAATGTTCAGAATCAAAGCTTAATTCTGCAGTCTATGAAAATTCTTGTAGGGGCATAATATCTATATCTAGAAAACATTTAAAGTGTGTTATAAAATAAAAATCAAAGCTATATTTGTTTTAAAAACTACCAAACTGCTGGAACTAAAATTTGAGGGGTTTTACAAGAATCTGCTGATAAGTTTTAAATGTAAATGTTTCTGTAATGTTCCAAGTGCTATTTCTAGGAATTGTTTTTCTTTAACATTGTTTGTATCAGCTTGCCATTGCTGTGGGACGAGCAGTTAATATCTATCCTCTGTCATTTCTTATGAACTTGGGTAGACACAACAAAATCCCCTGCAATTTTCAACACATGCTGTTTTTCTCAGGTATTAATGTTTATATCAAATGGTATAGTTATTGTAGTTACATAATTAGTTGTAATTATGGTAAACTGTGTTCTCAGATGTGTATACTCGTAGTTGCCATAGTTAAAGAATTAGTTGTAAATGTTCATAATAAATCATGTATCATCAAATGTATGGTGCATAATATATATGCTTGTTAAAAGAAAAGTGGTGGAAATTACTTATGATACCATTAAATCTAGGAATTGGCACTAACATCATGAGTACATTTGTTCTTTTGTGGGAAATAGCCATTAAATTTGTTTAAGAAAAATAATGTTTTCAAGGAAGCAGGAAAAAGTAAGGTATTTATTTTAGTTTTCATTCAAATATAAAATTAGTAATGTGTGATTTTGCAGTAAGTTGTATTTTTCATCTATTTTTCAGTGTTAAAAGACTACTGTAAATTTTTTCGAACATTGCCAAATTGTAGACTGTCAAAATATTACTTTATTTTTTCTGATAAGTTTCACTCAAATATGTCAAGAAGGAATCCGATGAGTAACATTTGGTTTTGCTGTCATATGTGAAAGTCATTGAAGGTATGATATTACACTGAAATTTCATATCAATGACTAGATTTGAGTGAATAACTCAACCAATATAATTTATTACGTATGAGCATTGATAATTAGTGTTGCATAAAATAATCAATTAATTGAAATTAGGATTAATTTCATGAAAACAATTAACTAATCAAAAAATAGCGATTCCAATTATTACTATTTTAGATTATCCCAACTATCCAAGTCTCATCTGAGAATAATCAATAAGTTGAATGTCATCATTTCAGGAGTCCAATGATTAATTGCATATTTTAAAACATTAAATTCAGTAAGAAAAATTCAATAGCACTGTTTTTTGCATGTAATTAAAAACCCTGAAAAGAAATCTTTCTTTTTTACCTTTCATTATTAAAAAGTTAAGCAAAATTACCATGTTTAACCTGTCACTTGTTTTTTTTTCTGTTTATATGAACATTCTTAATTCAGTTCTCAGACATACAAATATCTAAGTAAATATTAAATATTTTATACATTTATTTAATGAACTAGTGAACCAAGCTGTACATTGATGATATGAATAAGCTGTTTTCACTGGTTCTTCTGTATAATGATTCTTGTAATGTCATTTGATACAGAATACATGTATTTACCATGAAGTGTTTATAAAAATACTGAAAATTGTATGCTTTTCCATAGGCTTAAGAGGAGCCATGGCTTTTGCTCTTGCTATCCGAAATACCATGTCTGAACCTCGTCACCTGATTTTGACTACAACTTCTTTAATTTCAATAATAACTGTGATGATTTGTGGGGGATCAACAACTCAGGTCCTAAGCTGGTTGGGTATTCCGTAAGTACTAGTTGAAAATATCACATGGATATAAATGTATTTTACATATACAGTAGACATTTATTAAAAGTTACTCACCAATGGATTGCCAGTTTAGTAATTTTTGCTTCCTCTCTATTTTATTTTATTTTGATTATTGACAGTTTGTGCAGAAATCTGTTTCTTAATCCATGTGTTGAAATGATATTACTATGTGGTAATGATTACTTTTTATGGCAAGTTATGAAGAAATGGGGAGGGAGTATGAAGTGTACCTCAAACATTGTCTTCTCAAATATCATTGAAGCATTTTTTAATTTTATT